GCTGGTAACTGTTTAATTGTATCTTAAGGGTATTACAACGCAGTGTCCAGATCATGATCGCAAAAAATCTTTTGTAAAAAATGTATCTTTTCCTTTTGGCTGAATCTTCAGCATAGATTTTAACTTATTAAACAAGATTTTTTTATTTTTCTGAAGGCTTTTTTTTGTGTGTGTATGTATCAGGAAGATTGATTAGAACATGTATGCATTCCAATGCATGCTCTTCAAATGCTAAAATCACTATGTGATAAATTTTAGAATCCTGAGTGATTACACTGTTAGCATTTCAAGGTTATTTTTCCATAAGGCTGCAGGTTTCATAACTACTACTTACTTCAGTTTACTTTCTTTAAAATTGTTAAAAGTCCTTCATTTTTTAAATAAAAATATTATGTTAATAATTGAAGTAAGAGAGAAATCTAAAAGACTGTGTTTCAAATTTTTTTCTGTAGATCATCAATGTTTTGAATTACACTATTGATGTCATATAAATAAATTGTTAAACCATGAATACAAATTGAATACTATTTAAAGTTACAAACAAATAAGAGAAATGGTGAATAAAAAGTAAATTTGAGATTTAATTAATAGTACCATATAGGTGTTCACAAACACTGAATTTCTTATGTTGTTCATTATTTTGGATCTACTGTTATATCTAGAAAATGATTTATGCTGCAATAAGTACATATTCTTAGTTTCTCCACATTTTTATTTAATATGTTACATTACTATCTAACATACTTATTCAGCAAAAAAATGCATATGTAATTTGAAATTTTGAAGTAATATATACTATAATATATAAAAAATTATTATTCTTAATTATTAAATAAAGGTGGGAAATCGTTATTACTGCTTAATAGTTCTGTTCTATCTGTATAATATGCATTTGTTTGCCTTTATTGGATATTTCTGTTAATTTTTTTTTCTTTTATAGAAATGGAAACAGAAAAGAGTTCATCTGAATTTCATTCTATTGAAAGACAATTCTGGTCTTTTCTACCTGCTATTGATCTAAATGAATTGATTGAAATATCAAAAAGTACATGGTGAGTCGATAACTACTAGTTCAATATGTATTGCAATAAGAATATAATTAGTACAAGATTCTTTTTTGAGATATTTTGAAACTCCTCAACTTCTGTATTGTTTTCTGCCTTCTTAAAATATGCAATCGGTTTTGTGGCAATTGTACAGTTATCAAAAAATTATGCTTCGTTAAAAAGTTTTATTTTTTGAAATTTTTAATGATATGTAATTTATTTTAATATTTTATCTAGTTTTATTAACTGCATTTTTCCCCTCTTTTTATAGGCTGTTAACTAGAGATTTGAATGTACTATGTGATAAAGAAAAAGTGTCCATAAATTTAGAAAAATGGGTAAATGTGCTTCATTCCACTCAGATGAATGTCATTCAGGCAGTTTTGACATTTCTTCAAAATTATCAAAATCCTGGAAGTCATTCATATAAAGATGATGACACTTTAAGAAGCATTTGTAGTCAAGTAACTAGTCAAGAGTCATCTCCTAGTGAAAACTGTGAAATCAGTGATCGCCTAGACCAGGAAGATCCTTCCGTATCAGATTCAAAATCATATGAAGATGATAAACATTTAGAATCCACTCATTCGCTCAATGTTGAAATTTCTGACTCTAGCACTCTTAGAACAGAAAGCATCCTTGGGAAATTAGTTAATTTAGAAGATTTTGTTTTTGTTTACAATCCATTTAGGCTGCCCTCCGAAGATCATCGAATGATGTCTGAATTAGCAATGATGTGTTTTCAATTGAAAATCCTGGGAAACATTAGTGAAGTCAGAAAAGCACAGTCTGCCATTTTAAAAGTGAAAGAAAAAATTGAAGAGCTTCAGAAAACTAGTGATAGAAAAGAGCATGATATATCATCATTCTCTTGCCATGAATTATCTGATAATCCTAAAACTATGAGTGCTTTAAAGCACTCGGAAAGTGCTCAGTCTTTTCATAGATCACATTTATCTACTCATACTGCCAGTGACAAAATTGTTCAGAAAAAGCCTTTATGCAATCAAACTAGTGATCCAGGAAGTAAAGTAGCTGATGGAGATTTATCATCCAATGGTGATAGCTCTAAAAAAGACAGTAATAAATTAAAAGATCTAAATTCTGATGACTTTGAGTTGGCTTCTTTCCTTCAGAATTATTTCCATTTCTTTGATGTTCAAAGACTTAGAGAATATATGAATGTTCTCAATGAGCCTTGTAGTAAAACTTGGACTGTAATGCTGTCTGGAGTTGCATTATTAAATGGTCCAGATGAATTCACTCGTAAGCTTACTGCTGAACAAGTTGAAGCTGCAGCTAACTGTCTTGAAAGGAGTTTCTTTGGTCCAATTCTAATTTCTCATCTTTTAAAGTGAGTGTAACTAAAAAGTTGATATTTTTTCAGTCTGTGTTTTATTTACAATTGTGAAACAAATTGATTTTTAATCTATGGTATATTTACTTTCTTTAACATTTGTTTTCTGAATGACAGTCTAAATATCAAAAATAATGTATTTTTTATACAAATTAGTATTGCATTAGTATGAATATAGTGATAGTAATTCATTTTCCATTATTTAAGTGTACTGCATTCAAATTTTTTGTTATGTATCATTAAAACCTTTTTATTTGATTTTGCTTTCGTCATTAAAGCTGTATAAAACTGGTTTTAAGTGGTTGTGAATTAAGGTATAGTTATTGTAGTGTGTAAATTTTTGATATCAAGAAAAGTATTTTTTTATTAATAAAACTTGTAATTATTCTTTTTCAATTCCTACTATTAGTTCACTATCTCCCAATATATATATATATCTTGTTCTAATTTCCAATCCTTAAAAATACTTTCTATTCATCCATTCAAGTTCAAAAACATTTTTTTTAAACTTGTAGTGGATGACACTTGATGTTAATATAGTTTTTTTCAAATATTAATTCATTAATTAAATTAAAAAAAGGAATATAAATAGTAGCAAACAAAAATAATAGTCCAACAGCATATGTAGAAAGATAGATCATTCATTGTGTTCCTGTAGCACAATGGATTGCGTGTTGGACTTCTAATTCAAAGGTCATGGGTTTGAATTTCATCTGGGATGGCCTAATTTCTGAGAATGTGATTTTTTACTATCTTATTAGAGTAATTAAATTTAATTAATGAATAAATAGTAACAAAAAAAATAGTCCAACATTTATATATAGAAAGGAAAATTACTTTCTATTTTGTCAATTAATATTGTGATTCTGTCATATGTATATACATATTTATATTAATTGTGACTATTTAATAAAACATAACTAAAATAAAATTTCTCTTTGTTGACCTAAGTAGGAATTGACTTACATTTTTTATATATTGTTTATTAGGATTTTTAAAGTGAATTCAAGTAGAGGTGTTGATCTGTGCTTACAGAGAAGCTATCATATTACTGCCTTAGATGTTTTATATTTATCAAAATCATGTGATTCTCATCCAAGACCTTTTCTTGAATATGTTTCTCGTGTTTTAAATTGCCTTCCTGAACTACAAAGGTAATACTTTTCATTGATACTTACTGATGCTTCTGTAATAAAAATTGTTAATGTTTTGATTTATTTAATGCATATTAGCATATGTTTAATAATTATTTTTTATCTTAGGCCAAAAGTTTTGGATAAGTTATTACATCTTCAGGAAGTCCGTTTGGAGTGGATTAATGGAGTCCTACACATTGAAGCTGAAACTGTGCAAAATCTGAAATGCAGTTGCGGATGGCCGAGGTTCATATGTTTGATTATTTAGGTTAATAATGTTTCATATTTTGTGTTGTATTATCAATTCATTATATTTATTTGCCTAAAGCTGAATTCACACCAAGGCGTACAAACGTCAAATGTCAAGCATCTAGCCAATCAGAGACTTCATTTCGCCCGAGATGAAGTCTCAGATTGGCTAGACGCTTGACACTCGATGTTTGTACGCCTTGGTGTGAATTCAGCTTAAGTGTTTAAACCAACAACTACATTATGAAATCCAAGAAGAATATTCCTAACTGAATTTTGTTACATTTTTTCCCCATATAATAAATAAGCAGTATTTTAATAATTGAATTAATTTCAAATGTAAATATTTTGTTTCTCTATGTGGGATATTTTTATAAAATTTTATTATCAGAAATACTATTTTAATTTCCTTTTGTTTGTGTGTTATACATTGTTGGAGATTTTAGCTATATGCTCATAAGAAATAACTAAATGAATTTAGCTTTCTTTAAATAATATTGTAATTTACACAGGAAAAATTGTAAAATCCCTCCCCCCTCCCTCTTTTTAAATAGTGATCCATAAAATAAATTCGTTTATTTTAATATTAGCTTAAAGGTACTAATGTCTCTATCAACTAAAGCTAGCCTTTTTTTATGGTATCCATAATGTTTTTGTTTTTTATCGTATTGCAATTTTGATTACTATGCAATTTTAATCGCATCTATTTTAAATAGTAAAATTGTATATGCACACATTTGTTTCAGGCCTGGATCACATGTTTTTCTTTGGAAATATTCTGATTTATTATTGCATATATTATCTACCACAAAAGATATGGAAGAAGAATTCAAAGAGAGATGTTTTTCCTGTGGGTGAGTTACCTATTTTCAAAAGCTTATTTATCTATTGTTTTTTTTTTTTTAAAAATGACTTAGAAAGTTAAAGTAAAATTAATGAAATAATTTTTTTTTTTTAGTTTTTGGCCTGGTTATTTACTTATGTTGAAGAAACTAGAGTTAAAGGATATTCATAGAAAGGCAATTATTCATTTAGCTGATGTTAGTCTTTTAGATGCTGAAAATCAGTTAGGTATGTATCTAACAAATACATTTTAGGATATTACAGTAGACAATGTATTTTTTTAACTATCTTTATTTGTATCTTTTCAAAGCATTTTAAGGTGTTAATAATTTTTCTATCCAATTAACATTTGATTTTTCATTTAAAACTATTTCTTGGCTCTGCTTATAGTTAATTTTTGATATTAATTTTATTTAAATTATTTGGACTTCTGTTGATGAAATTTATCTTTGTCTAAAAATAACAAATTTTGCATTCAATTGCATAGGCTTTTTTTTAAATTTATTTATTTATTTATTTTCATTATCAATTATGAAATTAGTTTCATTTCTGATTACTGAAAAATCATATGATTTATTTTATCATGTTTGGCTGCCTGTCTTTTTTCTTATGCAAATTATGCATTATTTGACCCACCTTCTTCCTTGTTAGTGATTTTTATTACATGATATCCTAAAATTCAGTAATATTTCATGTTGCTTGTAATTTGAGAGAATTTCTTTCAATTGCAGTTTATTTATTATATTGTCTGTGACATTTACTTTTTAAAAGGTTACTTGCCTTCAAGTTTGGAAGAATGGAAAGAGTTTTTGATTCTGTATGCACAATCTTCTGCTGTTTCTGGAATGGTGACATGTTTGACATGTAGCAAACAATACAATATATGTACAGAATTCCTCCACCCCTCAAATCCTGCTAAAACCTGGGAAGTTTCACTACAATGGGAAACTATATGCAGGGTTGCCTTATTACATCTTGACTCCATCAAAGTATTAGGAATCTTGCAAACTCTAGAAATCCCAAATGGAGCTTTCTCATCAGAATTTTACAGATCACTAATGAAATCGTACTTAATGAATAAGCAACAGAGGTACTTTGTTTTATGTTTTACTTCTTACTTAGTGTTAATCATACCTTTTGTACGATTTTTGTCTACAAAAATTCAAGCTAATTTCTCATTTATGTATGTGATTTTGTTAAAGAAGTGAAATAATTGATTGTGCTCAATAAATTATTTATTCACTTCTATCTATATTTTGCTAAATATTTTATCAAATTATATACTCAAGAAATAAGAGTTTATTTAATTTTCTTTTTCTAGTGCCTTAATTCACAGGACTTTGACTACTGTTGGAAGTTATTTGTGGTCTCGTAAACTACAAACTTTATCTCCAGAGGTATTGTATTGTTTTTTATTTGAAATTGTTATCTAACCTTTTTTGTTCTATTTGTTTAACTATCCATTCATTTTTGTAGGCGCGCTTAGTTTTTCAAAAGGAGAAAGAAAAACCTGGGGCTTTCGCATCCCAGACATCAGAGGTAAAAACTTTTCTCCAATTTTTTGCTACTATAAAATATTAATAATATTGTAATATCTATGTATTAAAGCCCAGTGGCCGAGTGGGAGTGCTTCCTTACCACAGGTCTGAGGTTCAAACCCTGAGCTTGGCAAGGTCGACTCAGCCTTTCATCCCTTCCAAGGGTCGATAAATGAGTACCAAACTAGTTTGGGAACTTAACACCTGTGGTTTCACATCAGACTGACCACCTGACCTGAATTTCTGCTCATGCACCTCAGGGCCCAAGGTCGTGTGTACTGAGATGGGCACAGTAGGCCTTGACCCTTATGGGCTGTTGCACCACTGTTTTAAATAAAATATCTATGTAGTGATCTTTGGTAATGAGTACTTAAAAGTAGTGTGTTTGAAAGAGGAAACTCCTTTGTAATCATATTATTTTACTAATACATTTAATAATAAAATGCATTAATGAAAAGTTTTTATGAAGGGCAAATAATAGATTACTGTTTCTGAAATATTGTTGAATGTAATTTTCTAGTTCAGAAGCACTATTATTTGTACAAGCAAGGTTTATTTCACCTGTTTTGAACTAATAAAATGTGGTTTTCATTCTTAAAAAAATAATCTATGAATTCTTTGCCTAGTGAAATATTTCATTACTTTTATAATATTGCTGAAAGGCACATAAAAGGAGTAATGATCCATATCATATTTAATTATATTTATATTCTTTTCAAAATTAAAAAGGGCTTATTTGATTGTAAAATATTTTAATTTTAAGCAGTTTTTAATGTATTTTTTAAAAAGCTGCATTGCTTTTGTTTCACATCACTTCTCTCATGAACTATTTTGCCTTATTTTCTCAGGATACAGATTTTGCAAAAGCTGGTTGCTCCTATTTAGAAGAACCTACAAGTCACTGGGGTGTAAAAATTTCCTTAAAATCTGTTTGTAAAATCTGTAAAATGCCATTAACTTCTCATTTATCACCTTCTCAAGGTGGTATAACAGTATATAGATGTGGTGAGTATTAATGTGAAACTTGAAAAAAATTGTTTTATGTTTTTCTTATATAAATGTTGCAATATGTTACCATATTTATTTTTTGCTTTTGAGGCAAGTAGTGTTAGTTATGAATATAATGCCTCTCTATTAATGTAGTTTATAAATAGTTAAACTTTTTTGTATCATTTTATTAATTTGTTCTTCTCCCACCTTTCTTTGATATATATATTTCAATTAGTTATGATTCAGTATCATTAGTATTTATAGAAAAATGATGCATAAAAGTATCACCAATGTTACATAAAAAGTTTGGTGTAAATGTTTAACTTTTATAAAATATCATTTTCCAATATGCTTTGTCTTAGTCTATATAAATAAATGTCACAAAAAGAAGTAAATTAGATTTGGGAAATATTTTAATTCACGTAAAAATATTTTATCTTATCATTCATAACATCATTCATTTTATCTTATTTATTATATTTTGTCTTGTATTATAAGTCTACTATAAAATAATTTAGTTTAATTGAGGTATCTAAAGTGGTTTTTGTTTTTTCTTTTAAATCTCTTAGGTCACTCGTATCATACTGCTTGTTCTCATGAAGGATTTTGTTTAGCTTGCCTCCATTCTCAGGATGACAATGAATAAACTTTTTTTTGTGCCAAATGTTTATTTTGACTTATTTTAAAATAATTCAGAATTGTGTAGTTTTAATTACTCTTTGAATAATTTTTTTGTATTTATTATTGTGTGATTATTAAAAATTATAAAGTATTTATTTGTTTATTAATTTATCCTTTTATTTTAATTTTATAGAAGTAGTACTTAATCTGTGAATGTTTATTGTTATTGCTTTGGACATTTATTCTTTTACATTTTATACATTATACTAATTATGTGCCTGTTTTGACTTTCTTTAATATAGAAACTTCAGTTTCTATTCATGGTATTCATTATACAGTATTCA